ATTCCAAATATCTCGAAAACCATTAGTCGTAGCGATTTTTACCAAGACACCTTTTTTACGTAAAAAACGTAGTAAATGTATATTTTTTTACTAAGTACTTTAATACAAGTACGGACGAAAAGTTATTACTCTTCAAACCAGTTAAAAAATATGTAGGTGGCGCCCTCTATTACGAGCCCTAACAACTATATGTTGGGACAAGGATCTTTTTGGCAATAAAACTAGTAATTTGTTAAAACGACTCAATTTATTTTGTTTATTATCCTAAATTCAAACATTACAATATGATCTAGAAAATTTTACTATATTTTTATAACTTTGCAAACAAATCACTTTTGATAATAGCTTATTTTGCCAAAATCAAGCCAAATTTGCCAAACTATATATTGGGACAGCACAACAAGAAATTTGTTTAATACGGAATTACATCAGCTTTCGTCTTAATAACTGCCTGAACTCTTAATGGCACTGTATTTACCAAAGATTGGCACATTTGAGAAGAAAAATTATCCCAAATTTCCTCCAGTTTTGTCCGCAAATCAAAAATTGTTCGTTGAGGGTGGTTTCTTAAATATTGCTTCATTTTATGCCACACAGTTTCTATAACATTGAAGTCTGGACTACTTGCAGGGTGGGACAGAACAGATTTTGCTGAATGGCACGATGCTCCACCTTGTTGGAAAATATAGTCTTCGTTTGGAAACAATTCTTGAGCACTAGGCAAAAGTGAGGTCTCAAGTATATGTTGATATTTTTGGGCGTTAACAGTGTCATCTATAAAATTTAATTTGCCAAAACCTCTTGCTGACATGCAACCCCAAACCATAATCCCCTTAGGAAATTTAACAACCGTCTTTAAGCAATCTTTATAAAAGGCTTCTGCTTTATTTTGTATTATTCGTTTTCGATGATCTCCAACGCTAACATCAAATTTAGACTCAACGCTAAATATGCCCTTATTCCAATCATTTTGTGTCCACGATAATTTAGATTTTGCCCAATTGTAGCGATTTTTCTTTTGAATTTCTGTCAGTAGCGGTTTTTCTTTGGCCTAAATAAGAATTTGTATCAATAATCTTCAGGTAATTGATTATCCACACACAATAAAGTTTACCTTGTAAAACCCCAGACCGCATTTATCGATATATTTTCGGCAACATTCTCTTGATATATTTAAACCAGTTACAGTATTCCATTTAACTGTTACTTCGCGAAGAGTACTTCTTCTCGTCTCGCAGACTTGCAAATTTTTACTAAATTTCGTAAATCTCTCTGAGATACAACTTTTGGCCTTCCCAAACTTTTACCTCTAACGTCTACATTGGCAGATTCGCCGTATTCTTTTTATTATATTAAAGACCGTGGTTTTTGGAATACTTAAATCATCAGAAATTTTTGGAAATGTTTTTTACTGTATTGACGAATTATAATTTCGCGTAGTTTTTAATTTGTAGCTATTCCACGGACCATTACTTTGAATTAAATTTACAAAATTGAAAATTAAAAAAAATTAAAATTACTTACAGTAAATCTCACTACTCAAAGTATCGCGTCACTCACAAGCTGTCAATGCTGATGTAAACCATAAGCGTAAACAGTTTGCGACATTTGTGACGTTTATAGCAAAGTCGCCTATGATGATATTTATTATTTAAAAATACTTGTCCCAACATTTAGTTGTCAGCAAATTTGTCCTTTTATGAACAAAATCCGCTACTGTAAATATGGATTGATTTACAAATTCATAAAAATATTGTCAAGTTGTTTAGGATATATGGCTATGTTTATATTTAAAAAATTAAACATATATTTTTCAGTCAATTTGAAAAGCCAGGGCAATAATTCCAAAATATGACCTTGTTCCCACATATAGTTGTTAGGGCCGTAGTAGGATATCAAACTTATATCATATATAATTGACATTAAAATCAAAGTTCTCATGTCAAAAAACTCCCAGGCACCAATTTTTATCCAAATATTGACGTTACTTCAGAAATTATTTGAAAAAAATCAAAATAATAAAGAAACTTCTACACCCTGTATCTCCGAAAATAAGCATTTTAGGACATACATTTATACGAACTTTTTTACTTATTTTTATGTGCAGAATATGCTGCCGAAGTTTCCTGAATACAGTTCGGACCACCCTGTATAGAGGGCGTTGGCGACCTCTCGCATGTACTTATGATGTGTGTCATCAGTGTTTCATAAGTACACGGGAATCTACAGTTTATCGCCGAATCTGAACGGTACTATTTGAGAGGCTGTACTATGCAAACAAATCGCTTACTACCAAACGTAAATTAACATTTAAAAAATATCTATCAGTACATTAATAAACCTTTTTTTACTCAAAATCCTTCTTTTAACATTCAGTGTAATTCAACAAAAATATCCTCTACTTTAACACAAAACTGTAGCATTTTCAACATAAGGAAACATTTCCTTTCTACGATTTGAACAGCTATCATTTTCCAGAAAGAACAAGTAGGTTTCAGCCTGTAAGACTGACGCCTCGTCATAAGTCAAGGGCGTCAAAACTTTTAACGTTTCAGGAGCGATAACTTCAGTAAACTGGCCTGTCAAGGAAATTTCCGGAAATCTGAAGAATATATCTTAAAATGTCGAGTTTTTTATATATTTTTTTATCCACCATACAGTAATATATCGATTATTGATATTCTTTTAAAATGGTTTTACTTATATGAAGATTTTACTTATAGGCGGCTGATTTATTTACAACGTACAAACATATAAATTATTTATGAGTTCTATGTAATGCATGTTCTTATAAGTTAGTTTATGTAGATTGTAGTTTGACATAATACAAAACAAAATAACAGATTTAGAAAAAAATCTTAACATTATAATTGTGTTGAATATGAGAGAGCTTGTACTACCTGTGAAGTACATAAATTAATAAGTTATTCGATCAATGGAGTGGTTATTGTTTCTAGAATTATTTTTTATTAGGCATATGGTAAATTGTCTAGTGTTTGAAGTATACAAGGTTTACCATAATATCAAAATAGCTGAGTTAGTTTATTTAGAAAATTAATTTTTGTTCCTCTAAATGAAATCTACTACTTATGTTGCCATATTATCAAGATGTTGTTTTTTGATTGAATATTTAAAAAAATCCAAAAACTTCTTCGAGAAATACAGTATTTACAAAAAAATACCTATAACTAGTCCAGAATATTTATCAAAAATTCTTATAATAAAGTTAACCACAAAACGACTATTAGGCAAAAATTATGGCAAGAAATATACAGGGTAGTCCGAACTGTATTCCGGAAACGTCGGCAGCATATTCTGCAGATAAAAATAAGTAAAAAAGTTTGTTTAAATGTATGTCAAAAAATGCTTAGTGTCGGAGATACAGGGTGTAGAAACTTCATTTTTAGTTCGATTTTTTCTAAATAATTTCTTAAGTAACGTCAATATTTGGATGAAAATTGGTGTCTGGAAGTTTTTTGACATGAGGAATTTCATTTTTATGTCAATATGACTCCTACTTATAGAGGGCGCCACCTACATATTTTTTATGGGTACTGGGTCACCATTATGGGTGTTCAACGCTGGGGCCATTCAACACCTTCAACTAAACACTTCTCAATTTAACAACTTTATTCTTACTTCAGTTATTATACATCGAACAATGCCATGAGAGATCGCCGAGCGACATGGAGCAATCGAACCACTCAAAAATATCTCTCTCTCTCTCTCTAACCTAAACATAACCCTAGTTAATCCTAACCACAGATCATACCTAAAATCTATCTCTAGACGTACCACAGACTTGGTAAATAGGGAGGGTAAGATCACATGACCCCACATTTTTAACTGTTTTGAAGAGTAGTAACTTTTCGTCCGTACCTGTATAAATCTATTGAGTAAATAAATATAGATTTACGACTTTTTATACGTAAAAAAGGTCTCTTGGTAAAAATCACTACAAGTAGTGGCTCTCGAGATATATGGAATTGAACTTATTAATACCTGTCATCATTGACGTAAATTAAACATGTTGACTAAATAGTTATTAGACTGAAATCATAAATTTGAAATGTTTTTATACCAAAAATTCAACAGGAACTGTTTTATCATCATTTTTTTGCAGAAAAATTTATGATTAATTTAAAAAAATAAAAATTTCCTGAACTTATTGTTTCTGTCAAAATAACTATCTACTCAAAGTGTTTATTTTTTTCTCAATAATGACATGTATTGACTATTTCCATTCTAAATATTTTGAGAATGGTTGCTCCTAGAGATTTTTACCAAGAGGCATTTTCTTTACATAAAAAATCACGGAAATTTTTTCACTCAGTAGTTTTATGCAGGTACGGACAAAAAGTTATTACACTTCAAAACAGTTAAAACACATGTAGGTGGCAACCTCTACAAATAGGAGTCATATTGACATGAAAATCAAATTTCTCATGTCAATAAACTCCCAGACACCAATTTTCATCCAAATATGGAGGTTACTTCAGAAATTATTTGGAAAAAATCGAAATAAAAATGAAATTTCTACACCCTGTATCTCCGAAACTAAGCCTTTTTGGACATACAATACGAACTTTTTTACTTATTTTTATCTGCAAAATGTGCTGTCGCAGTTTCCGGAATACAGTTCGGACCACTTTGTATATGTACATGTATGTATGTCAGATTTAGCTCTTGGTAATTCAGAGAATAGATATAGAAATATAATATAGAACTTTTTTTCTATTTTCATTCTACTGAAAGCACGAACAATCAACCCAGTGTCTTTTTATATGAAAAATAACAGGTAGTTTGTTCCTTATTATTTGCTTATATTATGTATTAATTATGAAGATATTTTCAAGGGGGGGGGACCAAGATTATTCATATAAATCTAAAAATAAAAAAAACCTTACTAATAAATGGAAAGTTCAAAATTAAATAACAACTTTGCAAAATATGCCTCATGACACAAAACAAATATAAGAAAGTAATTAATTTAAACTCACATTATGTCTGGGTGACCACGAATTGCACATTATCGAGGCATCTTCTAGTATTCGACTCTGAAAAAAATAAGAACAATGTACAGTATATAATCATTTTGTTTGAAAAATCAGTTGTTAAATATTACACCTAAAAGATATTTTGTAACGTAGTATCTCAATGAAACTAATACGATCGAAAAAAACTGCTTCAAAGACGGCTGGGGAATGATAATACTAATTTTGGCGAGGTCAGTCCCTAGACGTCACTTTGTTGGCTCGTACATTTTGATATTTTAATGGCGCTTACTGCCAGTTGACCTTCAGTGAGTTGTAATGTATTTTTATATTGAGTAAGAATTATTTGTGAATGGTGTAGTTTAAAAATCTATAAAAAAAAGTTTTGAAAGAGATTTGTCTCTGAAAAAGTTCTATAATTTTTTAATCTTTCTATAATTAGTGCTAATTTTTGAGAAGGTGTATGTCAGTTATGAGTAAATAATGTCTAGATATTGACCTTGTCAAAATTATTATCGATTGTCATTCCTCAACCGTTTTTGGCGATGGTTTTTTCGATCATATGGTATATTTCAGTTTAGGTTAGTTATAAAAATATATCAGTCAGGCTTTGATGTTAGTAATGGACAAGGTGTTTAGGTTTGTAATGGTTTGGTGAAAACTTAACATTGTTCAAAAATATAAATATTACGAGAAAACCCAATGAACTTACGCCAATGAATTCCACGTAAAATGTTCACTAATAATCCATTTTTAACTTCTATAATATAGATGAATTATCAATTTGAATTTCTAAGCAACAAGTCCGCAAATGACGCTATGTTTTCCCTCCTTAATATAGTTTACTTCAGCCTAAATAACCATCATTCTACAGCAACAATTTTCTGTGATTTTTCTAAGGCGTTCGACTGTGTAAATCATAAGATCCTAATTAATAAACTGCAGCAGTATGGGTTCAGTGGAACATCTCTCGAATGGTTTAAGTCGTATCTGAGCAACAGAAGTCAACTTGTGAGGGTGGATACCACGTTATCTTCTAGCAAGCCAATAGAATGTGGAGTACTACAAGGCTCAGTATTAGGCCCTATTTTATTTCTTCTTTTTATTAACGACATTGCTAACATAAACATCAGTGATAAAATATGTATTTTTGCGGACGACACTAGCTTCACTTGGAGCAACAAGGACGTCACGGCACTTCATAGGATTATATCAAATGACTTAATCACCATTAAATCTTGGTGCGATTTGAACCTCCTGAGTCTCAACATTTCTAAAACTAAAGCTTTGTCGTATAAAAACTCGCTGCAGCCTTTTGTACTTAACAACACCACCATTGACGTCGTAAAATCTGTAAAATTCTTAGGGCTTGTTGTAGACAATTCTCTGAAATGGGACATGCATATCGAAGCTTTGTCGAAAAAATTAAGCTCTGCCTGTTTTGCATTAAGATCTGTTTCTAAGGAACTTAACTTGTCAGTGGCTAGAACTGTTTATTATGCACTTTTTGAGTCGCACCTCAGATATGCCCTTGCATTCTGGGGTACGTGTTGTACGACTCAATTTGACCGCATTTTCAAGCTACAGAAGAGAGCCGTTCGATATTCACTGAGACTAAACAGCAGAACTCATTGCCAGGACTTTTTTTAAAAATTAAAAATATTAACTCTTCTTTCCTTATTTATATTTGAATCCGTTTGCCTAATACATAAGCATGTATCAGCTTCTCATGAAAGGCCATCTCACACTTATCCACTCAGGAACGCGGAGCAAGATCTTTATTTACCTACCCCATGCTCAGAGTTAGTTAAAAGTTCAATATTATTCAACATACAACTCGAAAAAAATGCACAATTACCTCCCATTTGAAATCATATCCATAACATCATTTTCTTCATTTCGCAAAGCATTGAAATCTTATTTACTAGACAAGGCTTTCTACGCCGTAAATGACTTATATTTTGATAATCGAATTTGATCTTGTAAACACTGGTCTAATGTTTGCTCTTACTATATTTACCAATGACATCGAAATAAATTTATCTAGGGGTCATTGATATTTACTATAAACTTACTACATATTTTTGAATATTATTTTAATTTTTTTATGCTTTGACACTGTAAACATTTAAAAATGTTTATTTTAAACAATAAGACTGACAATGTTATTTGTTATTTGTATAATGTTTTGTATTCTCTTTTGTTTGTTTGTTTGTTAGTTTACTTTGTTTGTTTATTTTACATTTGTCTACAAATTGCAAAATTTTTTGACAATAAAGGCGTTTATTTATTTATTTTACTTAGATAACCCAAGTAGCAAAACGAAATTCTAAAAGGATTGAATTATTTTATAACAGTGGAATAGCGTTGTCTTAAGGACTGCTTGATTTTATTAAGCGTTGGTTTCGACCATTCTGTTTTTTAATAAAAGTTGTCATATTAAAGTATTTTCTAGTGGTTTTTACAACGTATCCTATAACGCATTAAACTATAATTTCTTTTAGTATGATATAACACTTAATAAGACAATGCTATATGATAACAAACATATTATTTTATTAGACTCTTATACCCACGATGTAAGAGTTCTATAATATTCATATAACTAGTAGTCACAAGATCATATATTAGTTACTTAAACTTGTCTTATTAAAGTTGTATTACGTTGTATGATAGAATGTTTTATTGCGTTAAACTACGGTGCTGTATACAACACCAGTTATATAGCCTTATATGATAATATAAGGCTATATAACTGGTGTTGTTGTTATATAATAAATTATGATTAACAAAATAAATTCGCTGTAATATCTACATTATAAAACTGGTAATGTATAATATAACCTCATTTTAATTTAAATGGTATACCTAGTTATTTAGTTTGTTATTGTTGTTGTTGCAAAAGTAATATCTACGTACGAGTATAATCAATCACAGCTATTATGAATTCTGGACAAAGTTGGAAAAAAGTTAACAAACGCAGTGGTAGTTATAAAGAACATGTAAGAAAAAACTCCTCGAAATTACGGCAAATAATCCCCAGAATTCCCTGGGTTCTCAAAAGCCAAAATCTCTCGGGTTGTCTGGCTTCTTCAAAGCATTGTTGCCACGTTGATGTATAAGTTTTACTGTAGTAAATGTTTGTATTGTTTTATTGTTGTCTTTCCAAGTCCTTAGGTTGCCGCTCACTCGTTGGGCACGCATGAAATACATTGCGTGCATGAATCCATGAAAATCTGATCATGTTTGTTAGTTTAAATACTAATCAAATGAGATTTTGCAACATCTATTTGTCACAAATCTCAATATGTCCAAAATAGTTCTATAGTGCCTGGAAATTCTGCGTAATGATAGATATTTATCCTATACCGTTTTATTTTGCAACAAAGACTTATTAAAGGGATTCATTTATGATAAAATGGTTGCATTATAATTCGTTATGTTTAAGGCAGAATTTTTGTATGGCCTATGGCCACCATTATATGAAGCAAAATTAAAAACATCAAAATAAATTGTAAAATGTTATTTTTGAGAACTATTTTATGATAAGATTCCCACATAACAGTAATAAAGTGTTTACTTAAATTAAAAACAAAAATTTTTGAAAATTTTATTTTATTTTATTGTTTAAATTTATATGTAAACCTTAATCGAAATTAAAGCGCTTTTATTTTTTGCCAAATACATACCTATAATCTACCAGTAAAATTTTCGGCGCAACAAAAATTGTCCCTACTTTTCAAACCCTATTAATGATTTTTTATATTACATATTTGTTGTACCTTCTGGCTCTACCCGCCATTTTCATTGTCGAGTAAAGTCTCCTTTTTAACAATCCACATCCTCTAGGTTCATTTTACGACACGCTTAAAATATAATTTGCTCCTAATATTCTTCGGTAAAAAATAAAATACTCTTGTACCTCGCTAAATGATTAAATGTTTTTATTGTTCTGTTTCTTAGATGTGACCACGTAATACACAATAAAACTAGTTTTATAATATTCAAATAACGCTGTGTAAAATAGTTGCATAAGAGTTGTATACCCTTTTTATAGAACTTCTATACTACTAAACGGTTGTATAAAAATGGGCCTTTTTTGGTTGTAAAGCTATCATATTACGGTCATATAGCACGTTATATGAATTGAGGTATCCTATAAAAATTATCACATAGCTGTTTATACAGCCTTTATAAAATAAAATTTGCTACTTGGGAAGTAAGTTCTCTGACCAATGAAATGCGAAGAGGAGTGTCTTAAATTGCATCTTTTCAAAATTACCATGTAAGAAAGGCGTGACAATTAAGGTTTACTTATAGAGAGGTTTAACTATCGAGACTATAGTAAAAAAAATTAAATGTAGAAGTTGTAATATTTTACCTGAACCGTTAGAAAGTGAAATAAAAATACACAATAGACGATCAGAAAGTAAATAAAAATGTATAACTTTACTAAATACATAGTCTACCTTTGAGGCCATTCTAGCAGTTGCATTGATTAAAAATAATTCAAAAACGCAAATATAGACACACTATACAAATTTGAAATCTGAAGAAATAAAAATAATCAGAGAAAACGTTACAACTCTTACATTTAAAGTTATTTACTACCTCCAATATAGATAACCCTTCCGCGGCATCGCACCAAATATATCTGAAAACCCTATACATAACAAGCTACTTTAATTTTAAAACACTTGGTTCGTACGGTATATACAAAAATATTTAAAAATAAAAGTGTTAAGTCATGGCTTTAACTAACTCAAAAACGTCGTCACTTGACTCTCTATCTCGATAAGACATTTAACCTGTCAGAGCAAGTACGATAATCCGGTAACACAATAAACTCGAACCCATTTAAATATCAAGTGTATCCAATAAAAGACACACCGAAGTAATCCCGTGTAATTTTTGGCACGTGCGCCGTGCGTAGCGTAAAGATAGGGCCACGTGCCGCGGCAGAAGGGCGAAGGAATACAACTTCAGCCATGTCTAATTACGCAGTTAGGCAGTGGCGTGTGTTCTGAAGGAAAAAA